AGACAAGAATAGAAACAAAACAGAGGAAAAGGCACAATGAGGGCAGTTCATGGCAAACTTTAGGGCATGACAGATCAGGAAGTTCAGGAAATCATGAGCAAGGGAGTGCATTGAGTTTCTGGAGTTCTTTTATTATCCAAACCTATAAACCTGATAACAAAAAGATTGAAAAAGGTGAAATCCTCTTGTTCAAACAGGTATGGCTCTGGGACAGCAGGGCACAGAGTTCAGCCAAGGTGAAAGGAGAACAAATCCTTCTGAGTGCTATTAAAATCCACAAACCAGTCACCCCGTGTGCCCTGTGTCACTTCCCCCCATCCATTCTCTGTTCCTGTGTTTATTTTGTGCTCTGCCCTTACCAAATTCTGGACTGTAGAGTAATTTATCACAGAATTACAGGCAGCAGACCTGTAGAGGAACAGGAATGGCCAAGGGCAGGCATCCATGGCTACATGGGAGTGGTCAGGAGTGCAGGTCCCTGGGAAGTTTTACTTTCCAGTAGCAAAGGGGAGCCTTGAAGTCAGCAGGGATTGTACCTTCTCAGGAACAACATTCATAGCCCTGCCTGGCAAATTAATTTCAAAAACCTAAAGTGAAGTGATATCATAGGTGGTTAATGTCTAATGGCTAAATAGCAATTAAGCTGTTTAAGCAGAGTTTCTATTTCATGGTTCAGCTTTGGAAAGTCTATAAAATAATGCTATTTCCCCCAGAAAGAATTCTGGGCTAGTTTAGATAGTATCAGATAACTTATACACAAAAAATGTGGTACTTTCAAGGGCATCAAATTTAAAGGAAACTCAGAACCATTCTTGACACAAATGTTTGCACACAGATGTTGACACAAGCCCAGGCTCTAACAGAACCATAACATCCATATTCCTAAATAATTTATTGTGTGATACTTGGCACATCCAAACTTCAGCTAGATAAAAGCAGCAAAAAAACATTGAAATATGATGAGAAACTCTATATTTGTAATTTTTAAAAACATTAAATTGTGAATTGTGACTGGTGCAGCTGGTGGATATGGAAGGACAATGGAAGCTTCCTGGAGTGTTGGCTGTCATTATGTTAGGTTTCAATTGCCTTTCTTTCCTTGCACGTGTTAAAAGTCTATGTAGAGTAGAGCAAAATGAAATCTAAAATTAAATTTACAGCGGTTACAATGGGGAGGCAGAACACGCATTTAGTTCTAAAGATAGGTGGGTAAAGTTAGGGCCCAAACCTCCCTAGATTGTCTATAGACTCAGTGGAGCAACAGAGGTTTCTCAGGGACAAATCCAAAGCACCTCAGGCTTTTTGTAAATTGTCTTGTGTTGGAATAAGCAGAGGATGCTTTGTCACCTGTGCAAACCACAGAGTGGGAACACCTGCATGCTCCTGGGATGGCAACCTGCACTCAGAAAAAGCAAATTGGAACAGCTTTGCTTTGCTCAGCTTTGCCCAGGAAAAATTTGGGATATTTGGGCTGGCCCATAGAGGAACTGACACCCATGTTCTGGAACTGGGAATGTTTCCTTGTGCTTTTTGCTTTACAGAGAGTGTGTTTGGGATGCTGTGGGGTACCTGAGGGTGGGACTGAGACTATGGTAGGGGGTTCCTGGATAATCTAGGGAAGCATCCACCCTTTATCATCTTCACTCAGAGGGTGGGGAGGCCCTGGCACAGGTGGCCCTGAGAAGCTGTGGCTGCCCCATCCCTGGAAGTGTCCAAGGCCAATCTGGATGGGGATTGGAGCAACCTGAGGTAGTGGAAGGTGTCCCTAGGTGTTCCTAGGGTTTGGAACTGGGTGACATTTAAGCTCCCTTCCAATCCAAACCATTCCTCTGGCTCTGGTCCAAGGAGTTTTTCCAGATGCCTTCTGTCCTGATGCAATCACCAGAAACTGATGTCTTGTGAAGGCTGACTTAGAACAGAGGCTGGAAAGAGCTAAAGAATAAATTTGGGATTTATTAAAAGGCCTCAATAGATCCACCTTGGGCAGCACAAGAGCCCAGCCAGGGCTACACCCAAGATGAACCAAAATGGTCACAAAAATGGACAACCAGTCATAAGGTCTCGCTTCTATAGTTCTGCTCCATTTGCACCTTGGAGTTCATTGCCCAATTCCAGCTTTAGCCCAGGCAGTCCCATCCTGCTTGTTTTTCTCTCTTCAGCCTATGTTGTTTCTGTTCTTGAGCCTGAGATTTGTATCATTTGTCCTTGGTGCCCAGCTGGAGCAGGAATTGTTTTGTCTCCCTGCTCTGTGCAGAGAGCTCACCATGCCCTCATATGAAGCTCAGAATTATGCACTAAAGCAGCACAGAATCTGAAAATATAAAAGCTGAAACCTGAGGCATCACTAGGACTCTATGGCTTTTTCCTGTTAGAATGTGTGAGAAATACAAGGTTTGTGCCCAGGGAATCACCAGGGCCCAGACAGCCCCTGTTAATCCGTGGATCAGGAGCTCTCAGTGCAGACATCCCAGGAGCTCTTTGAACACTCATGTCCCAGGCTTGCTTTGTCAGGGACATTTTGTTGAGTTTCTGGGTGATCACATTTGCCCATTTGACACTTGTTAGCAGTTTCGATATTTGCTGCTTCATGCCTTTAATTCCTTTGCTGGGTATGTTTCAACTATTTTAATGAGATGATGATAAGTTTGAAGGGTGCTTGTCCAGCACAAAGCAAAACCATTTGTGCCAGGAGTGGGAGCACCATTAGCAGCCATGGCCTGAATCCCTGCTCTCAGTTCAGGGTCTAAGTGCTACAAAAGCACTTTAAAATACACTATTAAGCTTCTCCTTCTTTAAGAAGAATGGAGGGGTTTAAGTCTGGAATTCACCTTAAATACTTTTTTTTTTCTTAAGAGCCTTACTGTAAATTGTTTAAACATTGTCACTATGAATACAGGGTCTAGTGGAAATAATCCTTGCCCACAGTAGTGGATTGAAATGAAATGATTTTTAAAGTCTCTTCCAACACAAAACTTTCAATGGCTCTGTGATTCTACAAAATACACAAACAAATCACACTTCATTTATTTTGATTTGGGTTTTTTTTTCTGTGTCTTCACTAGTGAAACAATTATTGCATGCCTTTAACCTATTTTATTAATTATTTTAATGATCATAAACTCGAGCAGCTAATATGGTGCAGTCCTATCACAATCCAAATGGAAATAAAGTGAGTTCTGCGAGCAGTCTTTCACAGTTTTGGACTTTGAAACATAAAAAAATACCCGAGTTCTTTGCAAGGTGTAGACTAAAGAACAAATTGTGAATCCCACATTTTCTGCACCATTAACTCTTAAGTTAACTGAAATTTGTCAAAATAAACTATTTACTGCAGGTGAGTTCTGCAAATGTTCTGGCTCTCTCTCTGGCTCAGAGATTCTGTAAGGCAAAAAAGGGTTAATTTGGAGTCAGTGGAGGTACTGGGATAGCAGCAGATAAAATTGGAAAGATATTCTAGAAAGTGGGTACAAGATCCTGGTTGTCTGCTTCATTTCTAAGTATAATTTGGAAGAGTTCACTTCCAGTTGAGGGTCTGCTTTGCCTGCCATAAAAACAAAAACATTCCCTTCCCTAAAGGGAAGCATCAAGTGAAGAATGGAAAAGTAGAAATTGGCACAGTCTTACAAGTGGGCACTTGAAAAAATGGTGCAGAAAATTAAATTGCATTACACAACAAATTAAAAATGAAGAATCATGAACAGTTCATATGTTAGCACAACTGATTTTGTTTATTTTTAACCCACCCCAAAATCCAATCATGCTCTATGTACATAGGCAATACATGGGATAGCACACCAAATGTAGACAAGAAAGATACAATATATTCTGGTTTATTATTGCTGGTGATTTTCATTTTTATTCTTTTTTCATTGTCCATCTGCTCAAACTGATGAAAAGGTCCAACCCATACAGATTCCTATGCCAATCCTATCTCACCTCCCAGTCCCACACTATCTCTCAGAGAGGAGAATCCATCCCATTACCTCTGGGAGGTTTTGCTGAATTCTGGAGTGTGCTGATTTTCCATCAGTTCCTCTGGGCCTCATTTCTTATGGAAAATTGCTTAGTGCAGAACAAGTATATCAGCACGTGTCTGCTTTAACTATATTCTATAGTTAGTAGGTAAGACCAGCTAATGTTTTGAGTTACTCAAGAAATCATAAGTAGCACACACACACAAATTTAAACAGAAAATAATCTTCCATGTCATTTAGAGTGTTAATTTTCTTTCTTGTTTCCAGTGTCATTTATTTTGCTAAGCACTGCTGCAATTCTTTCCACTTGTCTTTATGCTCTTATTTTCTTATAAAACAGTACACTAGGCTTTCTGTATAAAACATATATATAAACATTTGTATATATATATATATATAAAAAAAACCAAAGCAACCACCCCCAAAATTGACTTACAGGTATGTATTTGACCCTCATTAGAAAATATACCGTGTGTTCATCTGTTTGTGGTCCCTGAATGTCACAGCGCTGGCTATTGAAATAGTAAGAGAGAAAGGGGACTTCTTTTCTCCTTGTTTTGCTTTAAATCACATGATGAATTTTACAAGGTGAACAAAAGCAGAGTAGTCACAGGAACCACCAGATCCTGTTTACACACCCTGTTTACACACTGGCACCACGTCGCTCTTGTTGCCATTGTTGCTACCCTCCAATTTGAATTCTAGTTATTACTTCCCAGGAGTTAATATATCTATTTTTTTTTTTTTTTTGGTCACATATATTTACCCCTCACAAGCAGCTGGATGCAGGTTCAGGGACAATGAAACACTAGAAAGTCTGAAAGATTCTGTGACTCTGGAAATTCTTACCCTGCCTAACTTTTATGGCCCTCTTTTTCAAAAATGATCAATCATTTAGGAAATTATGGGTAATTTTGCATAGCAACTAATATTTAGAAACCCTTCCTTCCAAAAGATGCTTTTGGATGCTGATTTAAGACTGTTTTTTTTTTTTTTTCCTATTCATTGCTGGCATTAGATGCCAGCTTTTTTTTTTTTTTTTTTCCTATTCATTGCTGGCATTAGATGCCAGCCTTGCATTTTTGTATAAATATTCTTTTTTCAAAGTGTAAGGCCTCTGTTATTGGTATAGATGATTCTCTCTCATCAATAATTATTCTTTCAGGTAACAAACTGGTCATTGGAACTATTTGTAATTATTGAGTGATGTGGTGGGAGAACCCCCCGTGCTAAATACACCTCAAAATTGGGTGGTACAAAGGGAAGGGTTAAATTTCAGCCCAATTCGTTTAGGTTGTGCAAAGGTGACCTAAATAAATTTCACCCCAATTTGTTTAGGTCATGACTTCTCAACCTAAAGACTCTGTAATTGAAAAACCCCAGATATAAAAAATGCTATTAGGATTGGGGGTAAAAAAAAAACAAAACAAAACAAAACATGAAAACTGTATTGAATTAAAAAAAACAGAGTACTGCTTGCTGGTTTACAAAGAGTCTATAACACTGATAAAACCTTCGGAAACCAATGTGCTGCGCTTTTTTTTTTTTACTTTTTTTTCTTCCCTCTCTCCATCTCCCTCTTTATTTTGGCTTCATTTCAACCCGGGAGTTCATATCTTCCCCTTCCAGGTCGTACTCTTCTACTTGGCCACTGGTCCACACCTTCATGCGGTCGGTGAGGTCGCTGGTTCTGGGCGCCAGGATGAAGTCGTAAATCAGGGCAGCACTCGCTCCTCCAATGATTGGGCCAACCCAGAAAATCTGGAATACAAATCCAAGCCATTGCATCAGGTATTTCTGTATTTGCAGCTCCTCTGAGGATTTTCACGGTGAAATTTGCAGCTTGTCTACCTGAATGTTCAATTGACCACGTGGCATAAAACCAGAAATTTGTCACCATGAGTTGATGATAGACCCAGAGGTGAATAACTGTGATTATATTGTCAAGTTGTGATATTTAAAATCAATTACCTACTGCTGAAACATCTCTGCTGCTCCAGATAGAGTTGGCAGGGGAGCATAATTTCTAAAACAACAGGGCATTAGTTTCCGTTCTCCTATTAAATTACAGTGATAGGTGAATTTGAAAGTAATACTTAACAGGACTTGATTAGGGGCTTAATTTGACCCTAGATGCTGCTTAGCTGGTGATATTGCTGTGATTAAACTGGCCTAACCACTTAAGAAAATTAAAATTTAGAAGGAGAGATAATAAAAGGATTTTAGCAGACAAGCTGATTGTGTTAGAAATAATAGAAGATTTTGAAGACTTTGCAGGGCCAAAGCACTATTGAGTCTGGAAACTCTTTCTTTTATTCATCAATATCAGTAGTTGAGCACAAATTATTACCTCTATCTTCTTCTGTCTCTACAAAAGATAATAATTTTCCTACTAGATTCTGAAAATATCAGCTCCTCACTTAGTCACTTCCCTTTAGTGTCCTAATAACAATGCTCAAGTGGTAGACACTGCCAAAATTTCCCCAGGGTCCTCCTTTTATGTTTTGCTCTTTAGATGAAAATGGAATCTCTATCCAAAATTTTCACAACCCCATTGTATTACCACTAAATTTCCACCTGTGCCTATGCAACTGGCTGCCAAAACCATGAGTAGGAGAGTTGGAACAAGCCCCATTTTATATATTCAAGAACACATGCCCATTTACATCTCTATGTCAGACTTCTTTATTGACCTTTGGTGAAATAAGTAAACTTTTGTGAAGAACCTCATTTAACCACATTTAGACACAAGGAATAATCTAAAATTTATAGTGTTTCCAGAGCACTTATCCTTGAAAACACATAAGGAAACACTCAGCTTTAAGATGCTGAACATCTTATTAGCTCTTAAATATTGCACAATCCATTTCAGTTTATAAACCTGCTTAAGAATCTTTCTAAATTGGATTTTACCAAATTAAGCAGTAGCACTTTACAAACTTAGTTTAAACAATAAATACACAGGACAGGATTCTGTATAATAATGCGTAAACAATTTAAAAGTTTGTAATAAATAAATATAAAGAGGAATTACTAAAGAAAATCTACTGTATTACTTTGAGCACAGAGACTGAATGAGCCTGAGGACTTTTTGTTTGCCTGAGGGTGATCAGGATTTAAAGGAGAATATTCTTTGTTAGATGAAATGGAAATGCCAACTCTCTGACTTGGTCTTAATGATACATGTTGAAATATTTCTGATCTTGTAGGCTGTGTTTTCACGGCCTCGTGTGAGTTAAATAAATTTACTCAACTTACCCAGTGATTTTCAAAGTTGTTGGCAATGAGCGCTGAGCCAAAAGATCTGGCTGGGTTAATTCCACAGCCAGTGTAATCAATCTAGGAGTGGAAAGAGAACCAGAGGTGAGGCACAGATGAAGCTTCCCCATCACTTCCCTGCCTTCACTGGCCCATCCCGGGGTGGGATATGGCAGATGTAACCTCTGAGGGCTAAAACTCACAGCAAGAAGATGGCCCAAGGCAACGGAGAGACCGATGGCCAAAGGTGCCGATCCCGAGACGTCATTCCTTCTGCGGTCTGTGGTGGCCAGGACACAGAGCACCAGCTGGAAGGTGGCAATGATTTCAATTCCCAGCCCTTGGCCTGCATTGATTCCCTCTGAAAGCTGCATGCAGACAAGAAGGAAAATGTTATTTCATAATCCTGCATGACTTCAAGCAGTATAACAAAGTTCTGCAGTATCTATTTCTCAAATAGGAAAATGAAGACCTGCTCATCCATTTCCCTTCTGGTGTTCCTTTTGCTTCACAGGGGGGAAAATAGGAAGAAATAGAAAAAATTGAAGAGAAATTAGTTTTAAAACCCTCCCTGCTGTACTCAAGCCTAGGCATAAGCAACTTTTATTGATCCAGCGTGGTGGAGTGGTTGCTGCTTCAGCCAACATGAACACTCAGCCACTGGGCACAGTGAGAGTGGAATTGATCAATGTGTGAGAAACAAATCAGCCAGAAAGACACCTTCAGCAGAGTTTGCTTTTCAGAAGTGAACTGTGGTGCCTTAGGCCAGTCACTCATTGCTTCAGAGACTTCCACATTCATATTAAGATATTCATATTCCACCTCAACTGTAAATTAATATGCCACAGGAAATACCTTGAGATTTCCATGGAGTTCATGGAGGACTGGTAGATGTGACAGAATACCAAAAGTACACAAAACATCTCAAGATATTAATATTTAGTCAATGTATATCCAATTTGCACAGATAATGGTGTAGTCAATGATTCACCTGATGAAATGAAGAGGATAATTTGAAAGCTCTTTTTTTTTTTTTTAATAGATCTCATTTGACTACAAAGAGCTTAGATTCCTAACTCACAGCTGAACTACTTTTTGGTGCCTTAGACTCAAACTGAAGATTATTTAACTTCTTTAGGATACATTAAAAACATCCCCAGTTAAGGAATCCCAAGGGGCTGATAGGAGTGCTTCAATTTCCTACTGAAGTGGATTATCTAGAAAAACTGAAGCAGTCAGGGATAAATATTCCAATAGAATTATTAGTCATGAAATCTGCAGAGTTTCTTATAAATGCTGTAGAGCATATGGTGATCCACAGAGATGGACATTACAGAGCAGAAATGCTGTCGTATTTCAGGAGTACTGCTAAAAACTTGTGCCTAACAAGAAACCATGGAGGTAAATCATTTAATGTTATAACAAATTTTGAGTTCTGCTTTTAATTGCTGTATTCAGTGATGTCTTCACTACATCAAGGCAGGTCTGTTACTGAGCTGAATAACTTGATGTAAAGCAGAAATAACTCACTTGCATGGATGGGATGAAACATGAGCTTGGCCACAGGCCAGAGAACTGAGAATGTGACTCAGAGTAGGAAGCAAACTCTGCAAAACTTATATTAATTTGTGCTATCAGTGGGTTATCACATCTGTCAGAGCCCCTGTATTAAAAACTGCTGGGTCATTCGTGGCAAAAAAACATAATTACATGTTATTGTGACCTGTCCAGAACAATGAAACCACAGGAAATCCTGCTATTAATCTGATTTGGTGATATATGGCCTAATCTCCCCAAAGCTAATATTTAAAAAACCTTAAAGATGGTTAACTGAACTATTTCACTTTCCACAGGTGCTGTTCACATTTCTTGTTTCTTCTCTTTAACAAAGCTTAATATCAAATTCCTAAGCAATGAAAAAAAGTAATTTGAGTCCTTCCTCAGAATAAACCTGATTTTTGAATACTGCTGTTCTGAAACACTAATACTGTATTTTTTTAGCTTGTTCTTTAACATGCAGGAGCAATACCCTCTGAGTTGGAAATGGTTTGTCCACAAATAGAAGGGAATTCTGATTGATAGGATGAGTATTTTGATTCCTTCAGCATCCACAGAGCAGAAACTGAAATCCATTAATGAAACCTTCATCATTATTAGGACTTACACATGAGAAGTGTGAGTCTGACATAAATACATCCATGTAAGATGCACTGAAAATTGCAAGATCCTGAAATTCATGTTTGATATCTCTGAATTTATATTTTATTGCTTTTGTAAATTTTTAAAAGAAACGCTTTATTTTGTTTCACTGTAGAAAGAGTAGGATTTTTGTCTCTCAACAAATTAGGCTTCCTGTGAGTTTCCTTGTATCAAAACCAGTTAAAGAATCTGGACTATATACTCTCTGGAAAATCTTATCTTACATTTGGAAGGCCAAATGGCCAAACCTAAAAGCCAGGTGACTGATGTGCACATGCCCAAAAGCAGATAAAAAACCAAATCCTTTTCTATCATAATGCAACCCCAGAGAACCCAGAGCTGAGGTCTGACTCAACAAAGTTAGCTTTTGACAAAGCCTTGACATTTTAAAAGATTAAACACTGTCCAGCCATTGGGCTTTCCCTTCCCTCGAAGGGCTTCTATAAAAGACAATAAGAGCAAAATGATTCTTTAAAAACCTGTGATAATCCTTATCTTCGAGAGGTGGAAATCGTATTCTTCATTTCCCTCCAGGAAAAACACATTCTACAGCTGACGTGACTTGAGGTCATTCTCCCTGCTAATCAACACTTATTGATGGGCTGTGTGGAATCAAAGAAAACCTGGAAATATCATAGGAAACCTTTTGCTTTCCTCCAGCCGGGTAATTTTACACAGCCTGCCAGGAACATTAAGATTCTACTGTGAGAGCAAGGACTCTGGGCCGTGCTCCAAAATGGGACAAACCCAGACAAACCTTGGATGTCCTGCTTTGCTGGGGTCTGTGGATCTGCAGTGTGCTAGGGTAGGATAACAGAGTATTTATTTTCCTCCTTATCAAGGGTAAATTATCACTGAAGCAGCAGCCTGGGCCATTCATGGTACACCAGTGTTCACCATCCCAAGCACACCCCAGAAAAGCTTTAGAAATTGAATAGGAAGGTACATTCCCTTCTGTCAAGTTAAAATATACATGTACATGTGCATGCTTATATTTATAAATATAATTATTTATTTATCAATATTATTTATATTTATGTTTATATTATCCTCATACACAGAGGATTTGCAAGTCTTACCCAGATAACCTTTTGCACCTTTTGAATCTGCTGGTTTAAGCTCTTGACAGAACAAGGGAGGCACAACCAACATGAGTTTGTCATCCTTTGCCTGTATTTTCTGTATGCTATTCAGGTTTTTAAGGAAATCTTGAACTTTTGTAGAATATTTTGTAGAATACCAGACTCCAGAAGCTGAAGGGCTTCTAAAGCTTAATCTGAATTTCATAGGAAGCAGTACCATACATTAGAGACCTGACTAAAAATCAACAGCTGTTCTTAACATCTGCCATTCTGCTACTAAGAATATCCAAAATACAAGGTGACCAATATCTCTGTCCTAAATAGATAAAATAATGCTTTGAAACAGCCACTTCTAGTGCAGTATTGGGGTGAAGAGGACCCTTTCCAGTGATCTGAACCCACACTGCAATGCCTTTTTCCCTGTACTGGTACCTCTTACCAGTGGCCACAGGGATGTGGGTGACACTGCATCTGTCCTTGATGTATCAGCTGGGAAATCTTTAACATCTCTTTGTGGTCCACTAATGCTCATTAAGTAACAGAAAAAAATGTCAGAGGGCAGAGAACAGCACAGCAACTCCCTGAGCTTTTCAGGCTTCAGACCTGGGACATTTGAGGAGTGGATTCAATGCTTTAAGGAACCAAATATGCTCCAAGGGTTAAATGAAACACACAAGCCCATATTCATCTCCAAGAGAGTCTACACAGACTTCTTTTCCTTTTTTGTTCACATGAAAAATCCCACTAAACTTCATTTCTAACATCAGTGTTTCAACAGAAGAAGCACCAGGAAGACACATAAGAAATGGGCTGAATCATTGGTAAGGTGTGAGAGTTGTCTGTGGACACATTTATCTGATCAGCTGAATCAATCTTGGCTGCATCAGCTTGCAGTGAGGAATTCTCCCTCGAACTCACAGCTCCCAGACAAGAAGCAGAACATGCAGACACCCCAAGGGAGGTGCATCCTCCTGTGAGCAGAATTCCACCATTTCCAGCCTTAACAATCCCATGATTAATAATTTATTCCCCTCAGTTCACTGTGAATCTGAACAAGGTAATGGAATGAAAATCTACCGGAATTCAGTAAACGTACAGAAGTCACAGCTTATTCAGAAAACTCCTGAGATGCAACTGTTTGGAAATTAAGGAAGCACTGAAGGCACAGTGGACCAAGAGACACTCAAATGAGGAGTATTAAACCCCAAAAAACATGAATATCTAGACATGAACATGAGAGCAATTAGTTGAGAGGAGCACCTGCTTTATGTCTTAGGAAATGGGCAGTGACCACATCGCTTCCAGCTCTCCATAACATCACACAGGAGATGAGAACTACAAAATTTGTTTCCCAGAAGTGCCCTTAACTGCCATGTTTAGCTGACTGACTCCCACAGCAATAATTTGGGCAAATTAATGGTATGTTTTCTTTCCTTTTGATTTTGATTTTTTTTTAATTTATTTTTTTTTAGGACAGGATATTTATAAGTTGTCCGCCTTCGGAAGAGAAACGGGGACAGGAAATTAAACCGGCCCAAGGTAAACCCCACTGTGTACTTCTCTAGTGGCTTCATATTTTTCTCATTACCAGTGAAAGTATATCAAGTTCAAACCTGCTTCCCGTTACATGGATAAGACACTTTGTTATGCAAGGTGGCTCCACCACAAGGGGCTGAGATCCATCTCATCCAGCAAACCCTTAGCCCAGGACTGGAGCTTCCAGGGCCCAGCTTCCTTTCATATAACAGGGATTAGTTTCTCATTGCTCCAGGAAAGAAATAAAACAGAGGCCTCTCATATTGCAGAAGTCTATTTTTGAGCAGGGGAATGTCAGCTTTCCCCATTCTTATGAAACACCAGAGCAAGCCCTGCCTGCTGGTGTGGTTTTGAGGGAGAAAATTTAAGCCATAGCATTTTTAATGGCTGGGACTTCTCTTCCTTGCATATCCTCACCATCCTACCTAAATTATTACCTTTTGTCTGCTTTAGCAGACATTTTTCTTAAAATTAGCATTTTATTCAAGTAAATTCTTGCTGTCTTACAGCATTTTCTTCTTATAGCTTAAAATTTCCCTTCTTTGGCTTTC